GTGAGTACTCTGCGGTGCTTCTGTTCCGTGCACCACACACACGCACGTCGTCTGTATATCTTTGGCGGTCTCTCCGCCGCATCTGCCGTTGTCTCTCGACTTGGCATGGGTATGCGGCGAATGTAGTGGCGCTCTGTCAGCCTCTGTAATGGAAAGGTAGGGTGTCTATTGTGTTGAGCAGGGATTGGCTGGCGAGGTACCATTTTGAGATGGCGGTTTATAATGCCGTCAACCAACGCCAACCGAAACGCTACGGAATCGAGTTTGGTGTTGGTTGATTTCTCAACAATGACCCTTGCGTTTTGAATGGAAACATTCAAAAGGCGTTTGAAAACTTTCCGGTTCCATTTCAAACATTGTTTCCGCTCGACTAGATAGGCCTCCAGCATCGAGTCAAGGCGGTCAACTCCCCCCATGTACCGATTATAATCGTTTATCAAATCGAGCTTGTATTGTGCAGTGTGGCCCGAACGTCCGGCAAATAGTTGTTGCGAGACGCCATGGTATGTTGAGATACAAGTCACTCGCTTGCGATCTTGTAGCGCAACAACCATGACGTCGTCGGACGCACGGGCAATAAATTGCCCTTCCTGTAAGGGTGCACGTTTGATGGCTTCTGGAACCCCTTTGCGAGTCGGCCGCAGGGTACCGACGCAGTCCGTGTTGCGGCGTTTTAGCCAACGAGCCAGGGAGGGGGAATTGAACCAATTGTCCATGTACAGCGTGTGCCCCCCGGTTGAGGATAGGTTGTATGAGCCTCAACACAGAGGACACGCTGACCGGTACCCTACTCCCTGTCTCGCGGCCCGCATACACGAAGAACGACCAAAGGTATCCTGTGGCCGACTCGCACAGTTGCAAGGTTTTTATACCAAACTGGGCTGCCTTGGACTTTATGTATTGTTGAAACCTAACTGGCCCTTTCCAAAGAGTTAGCGATTCATCAATACATATGTTCCGGTCCAGCTGGTATAACTCCTGGAACTTGGCATTCAAATGGTCGATAATGGGACCCATTGGGTGCAGCAGATTATTAGGGTCTGTCCCCTCGGCCAAATGAAATGCCGCATTGAGGTTCCAGTAGCGGCCTTCCGTGAATAATGCGCGAAATACGTCAGTCCTCAGTAGTGGGTGCTTGCAGAAACATGATTTAATGCTTGGCATTCTAACAATGCCAAGCATGATCCAAAATGCCATTAGCGCCCAGATTTCATGTAGATTGGTCTGAAACCAATCTTTCCTGAAACCTGGACGCTGCTGTGCCAAAACCGTCTCGGCATACCGGTTCGTTTCGTCAGCAATATGGGCCATGATGTCATCTGTCCAGATGGCATGCATGGCCTCATATGGATCGTGAAACAAAACGGTAGGCCCAGTCTGTTCTGGCACAAAATGGCATTGCCTGCCATTCCACTCGTTCATCCCTCGCCACTCAAAACTATTATCTTCATCCCAATCCCATTCATTCTCCCTCACATTCTCCTCTTCCTGATTTGCAGTTATCCTTCTTCTTTCGTACCTCTCCCTTCTAATGGAATGATCACGGATTTGCCCCTGAATATCCAAGGGCAAATCCGTGTCATTTAAGAAAATTTGCACGTAGGGTGCTCCACGCAACCAACCCACGCTTCGGCCACGGCCACGGCCACGTCACGACCACGCCCGCGTACAGACGCGGTCCCTCGCCGCTGACGTGCCGCCGCCGTGTCCAACACCTCCACCACGAAGCGGGGTGCGGGGCCTGGAGCACCCTCTGGAGCAGGTAAATACTGTTGAAAAATGAACACGTTGTTATTGTGCTGCAAACACACACACACACACATACATTATATATATATATATATATATATATATATATATATATATAAACATTAATATACATAAGTAAATATATATATACATATATATATATAAAAATATTTATATATAAATATTTAACATTTATATACATAAGTAAATATTTATATTTTATATAAATATATATGAATTTATATAATATATAAATAAATATTTATATATACATAAGTAAATATATATATATTTATATAACATATATAAATTTATATAATATATATATATATAAATATTTATATAAACATAAGTGAATATATATAAATTTATATATATATATATATATATATATATATATATATATATATATATATATATATATATATATATATATATATATATATATATAAAAATATATATATATATATATATATATATATATATATATATATATATATATATATATATATATATATATATATACATTTATATACTAGTAAATATATGTAAATTTATATAACATACATATATTTATATAATATATATATAAAAATATTTATATATATATAAACATTTATATACATAAGTAAATATTTATATTTTATATAAATATATATAAATTTATATAATATATATATAAATATTTATATATACATAAGTAAATATATATATATTTATATAATATATATAAATTTATATATATATATATATATATATATATATATATATTATTTATATAAACATAAGTGAATATATATATATATATATATATATATATATATATATATATATATATATATATATAAATATTTATATACTTATTATATAAATATTATTTTTATATATATATATATAAATTTATATATAATATATATATAAATATTTATATATACATAAGTAAATATATGAATATATATATATATATATATATATATATATATATATATATATATATATATATATATATATATATATATATATATATATATATATGTATATATAAATAAATATTTATATAAACATAAGTGAATATATATATATATATATATATATATGATATTCACTTATGTTTATATAAATAAAATATATATAAATTTATATAATATATAAATAAATATTTATATATACATAAGTAAATATATGTAAATTTATATAACAATTATATATATATATATATATATAACATATATATATATATATATATATATATATATATATATATATATATATATATATATATATATATATATATATATATATATATATATATATATATATATATATGCGGGGCCTGGTACAGCCTCCGGAGCAGCCACTGGAACTGCAGCCGGAGCCGGAGCAGGTGACCCCTGTTGAAATAATAAACACATTTTTATTGGGCTGCAAACATTTATATATAATAAATATAAATAAATATTTATATAAATACTAGCTGAAATATAAAAATTTACATAGAAACATTTCATTACTGATGTTTTGTTTTACTTACTTCCACTCTGCTGGGTGCGGGGCCTGGTACAGCCTCCGGAGCAGCCACTGGAGCTGCAGCCGGAGCCGGAGCAGGTGACCCCTGTTGAAATAATGAACACTATTTTTATTGGGCTGCAAACATTTATATATAATAAATATTAATAAATATTTATATAAATACCAGCTGAAATATAAAAATTTACATAGAAACATTTCATTACTGATGTTTTGTTTTACTTAATTCCACTCTGCGGGGTGCGGGGCCTGGTACAGCCTCCGGAGCAGCCACTGGAGCTGCAGCCGGAGCCGGAGCAGGTGACCCCTGTTGAAATAATGAACACATTTTTATTGGGCTGCAAACATTTATATATAATAAATATTAATAAATATTTATATAAATACCAGCTGAAATATAAAAATTTACATAGAAACGTTTCATTACTGATGTTTTGTTTTACTTACTTCCACTCTGCGGGGTGCGGGGCCTGGTACAGCCTCCGGAGCAGCCACTGGAGCTGCAGCCGGAGCCGGAGCAGGTGACCCCTGTTGAAGTAATAAACACATTTTTATTGGGCTGCAAACATTTATATATAATAAATATAAATAAATATTTATATAAATACTAGCTGAAATATAAAAATTTACATAGAAACGTTTCATTACTGATGTTTTGTTTTACTTACTTCCACTCTGCGGGGTGCGGGGCCTGGTACAGCCTCCGGAGCAGCCACTGGAGCTGCAGCCGGAGCTGGAGCAGGTGACCCCTGTTGAAATAATAAACACATTTTTATTGGGCTGCAAACATTTATATATAATAAATATAAATAAATATTTATATAAATACTAGCTGAAATATAAAAATTTACATAGAAACATTTCATTACTGATGTTTTGTTTTACTTACTTCCACTCTGCGGGGTGCGGGGCCTGGTACAGCCTCCGGAGCAGCCACTGGAGCTGCAGCCGGAGCCGGAGCAGGTGACCCCTGTTGAAATAATAAACACATTTTTATTGGGCTGCAAACATTTATATATAATAAATATAAATAAATATTTATATAAATACTAGCTGAAATATAAAAATTTACATAGAAACATTTCATTACTGATGTTTTGTTTTACTTACTTCCACTCTGCGGGGTGCGGGGCCTGGTACAGCCTCCGGAGCAGCCACTGGAGCTGCAGCCGGAGCCGGAGCAGGTGACCCCTGTTGAAATAATAAACACATTTTTATTGGGCTGCAAACATTTATATATAATAAATATAAATAAATATTTATATAAATACTAGCTGAAATATAAAAATTTACATAGAAACGTTTCATTACTGATGTTTTGTTATACTTACTTCCACTCTGCGGGGTGCGGGGCCTGGTACAGCCTCCGGAGCAGCCACTGGAGCTGCAGCCGGAGCCGGAGCAGGTGACCCCTGTTGAAATAATAAACACATTTTTATTGGGCTGCAAACATTTATATATAATAAATATAAATAAATATTTATATAAATACTAGCTGAAATATAAAAATTTACATAGAAACGTTTCATTACTGATGTTTTGTTATACTTACTTCCACTCTGCGGGGTGCGGGGCCTGGTACAGCCTCCGGAGCAGCCACTGGAGCTGCAGCCGGAGCCGGAGCAGGTGACCCCTGTTGAAATAATAAACACATTTTTATTGGGCTGCAAACATTTATATATAATAAACATAAATAAATGACTGATGCTATAAATATAACTTACAGATACCTCCGCAGTCTCTACCACCAACTCCAACAGGTCCCCCCATGACCCGTCGGACCGCATGTAGTACATTGGCATGTTCTGTTGAAAAATGAACCCGTTAATATCTATAAGTGTCTATTTATCTACACTTGTGTGTGATGTTACAATATAAATATTACTTACAGATACATCCCAGTCACCTTGTTCCCCAACCTCTTCATCGATGACCGCCTCTTCCTCCATGACCACTTCTTCGGCTTCCTCCTCATCGAGAAGGACATCGATGAAGACCTGGGGAACTGGGTTGTTTCCGGGGTTCCACGTGCTAAAAAAGAAAATAATAATTGTTACATACCATAGTACATAGTTATGCCTATGATATTATATATATATATTCATGTTATATTATATATATATGATATGTAGGGATAAATATATATATATTCAGCAGAGAATATATAGACAATAGGGTCATATTATGTTATTATATCAGCAGAAATTGCTATATACATACTGAATTTATCCAAATGAAAAAAAAAGTGAAGCACATGTCTGTACAATAAAAATACGTAAAATTTATCACTTTTTTTTTTGTAAATATCTTCATATTGATCGCCTTGTCGATAAAATTCGCGCAATCCCTCCAAATATGCTAAATATGGCGAAATATTTGAATTGTTATATAGGTATTGGACCGTTTTATGAACAATTGTATAGGTTATGATACAATTTTGATAGGGAAAATGAACGAAATCTTGAAGAATATGAAATTATCTCGTAATTTCATTAAGATTTTACCGTATTCAATTAGATTTATCCGTAAAATATAGACATTTACATTTACTATTTCGTTTGAACTTTTCTACGTCATTTCGATTTCAAACTATTTTTAGCATTCACTTTTCACTTTATGCCACAAATTATATATCTACGGGTTTGTTATATAACAAGGATTACAAAAATGTATAATACTTACGTTTTTCTTGCAGACAAAACGATAAATTACTTTATAACAATGAGAGCACTCGTGCACGACGCGCGATGCGTAATGGCGGAAATACAAAGTGATTTCTTTTTTTTTGTTCTAAGAAACATTGCCAGGTTACGTTTTAAAATAAAAGAGCATATCCTTGTCTTTGGTACTATTATCAATTGCATAGTGTCTTTGGTTTTGTTTAAAACGAAAAAATAGTTTTTTCATAGGTATATTATTCTGATCTAATTCGATCACTACTTGGCGGGCGTAAGGTTGGTATGGCGCGATCGAAAGTGAGCTAGGCTTGGTTAACAGGTTAACCGACGAGCATGTATGCGTAGGTATATGGATGTGATGGAGGTGAGAGAGGTGTGTCAGGATCGTGCTAAATGGAAGTCTGTAGTCTCTGCCCATCCTTCTGGGTGACAGGCGTGATAAACACTCACGTATACGTAAACACTTATGTATGTGTGTATGTCACTATTTCCATGTAGTGGCACACTCATACATAACATGTAGTGGCGGTATAAGAATATTCACTACCCCATGTCGTCCCGTGGGTGTCGTAGGTGGCGAAAGTGGTAAACTGAGACAGCTGATCTGCAGCGGCATTTTCCTGATAACAACTTAGAATAATAAAAAAACTGCAGTCGACAACCCTACCCCTGCTTACTAGGTGTGTCAACTATGGACAAATCCCCGCTATGTAATACCGCTACCATTAGAACGTAATTTCTTATGTAAGTAATAATAATAATAATAATAAATAAATAAAGGCGTAGGGAAGTGACGACCCCATCGCCCGCTGACGTAACAGTTATGTGACAAAACTGCGACATCGGCGCAGTCAGTCAGCATCCTGCCAAGAGGTGTGAGCGCCGTGCCTAGGCAAAATTGTAGATGCAAAGGTCCGTTTGTGCATATGACCCAACCACGAAACGGTGCCGGGCTTGGGCGTCTCCCGTTATTTGGCGCCCATAAAATGGATGATGGAAGAAACACAAAAAGGAACGCGCATAGGGCCGCTGCCTGGGGGTCGCCGGGGCGCGTCTGGAGCTGGCGCTGGACGCGGCCGCATGCGGGCCGCCGCGGAGCGCGAGGAGCTGCACGATCACCTAGCAGCCCCTCGCGTACATCATCCCCACCAGAAGGCTTGGTGTCGGCTGGGTCTTCTCGGACCCAGCAAGCGGCACCCGCCGCTGGTGGAGCACGTCGCATGCGTTGGACAAAATCCATGAACGAAAACGCATTGCGGGCGTACTATAGGGCGAAAAGGGGAAGAAACTGTGGGAATAGCGTATAGGTCTCGGATGCATTGCTTTTTTTGCTGAGCTGGAGCCGTCTATCCCCGTCACGGAACAAAACCTGGCAGACCGAGTTCGGTACATCATGCGCTCGAAAATATTTGATGATGCCGAACTCGAACGACTACGACGTGAGGCTATTCCGTCGTCGAATGAATCGGCTATGGCTGGAGATGCAGCTCCACATTCGACAGACCAGCATCCACACGTAGAAGCCGCCATGGATCTTCCAGTTGTGGTTGATTCGAACGACGATGAAATAGTCTCCCACGAACTAGAGCAAATGAGGAGTATATTGGAAGAGGCGATTTTGGAAACGCGCAGCACCCCTCTCGAAAATCGACCGCGACTTCCCCGCATACCCTTAAGCAAGCGAAATCGGGCTGTCGTGAGGGCTCTTAACCCAATGCTGGTGACCTATTTGGAAGCCAACCGGGACCTTTGCGAGACGGACTCGATTCTCTTTGGCGCCGCAGTGGCAGTTTGCCGTATTATTGGCGCCAAACTTCCCATGGCTGGACGCGCTACTACACAAAGTAACGCCATCCCAGCCTGGAGGAAAAGAATCGAGGACCGTATCGCAAAGGCAAGGGCCCTTATCGGCAGACTGACAAGCTTCAGGTCGGGTAATAATAGACCGAGGATTATGCGCACCGTTAGGATGGCGTTTGCTGGGACAAATATCAGTTTGTCCCAGCCGGATATCACGCAAAAACTAACGGAGCGCATAGACGACCTGAAGCAAAAGATCGCTGCTTGGGGGAAGCGGATTCGACGATTTTCCGAGGGGTCAAGGCGGTTCAACCAGAATCGTCTCTTCCAGAGTGATCAGAAGAGGCTCTATAAATTATTGGAGCGACCAAAGGTATGTGTAGCGGGCCAAGGACCGGATCAGGCTGACATTATCGCATTCTGGCGTGGCCTGTGGTCAGAGCCCGTAAACCACAGTGAGGGCCCTTGGATGGAAGTTGTGGCGAGCCAGGGTGCGAGTGTTACGCCTATGGACCCCATCACCATAACGCCAGGAGACGTGGCTGAGGCGGTCCGTAGGGCCCCGAACTGGAAAGTCCGGGGCTCGACGGGCTGCATCATTACTGGCTGAAGGGGTTCGTAGTGTGTCACGCTGTGCTCGCCCGACAGTTTCAAGAGGCTCTCGACCAGAAGTCACTCCCGAGCCTCTTCACTACTGGGATCACTCACTTGGTTCCTAAAGATCAAGATACCACAGACCCGAGCAAATACCGCCCCATCACGTGTCTACCCACCATATATAAGACACTGACATCCATTTTGAGCGCGAGAATCACTCGTCACCTGGAGCTAAACCAGGTGATGTCACGCGCTCAAAATGGATGTCGGGGCGGTGGTCGTGGAACTAAGGAACCACTCCTCATTGACGCGGTCATAGGCAAAGTGGTGAAACGCAACCGTCGGAACTTCTCTGCCGCCTGGATAGACTACAGAAAGGCGTTCGACTCGGTGCCCCATACATGGCTAAAGAGGGTCCTCGAGCTGTACAAGATTGACTGTACAGTTAGAGACTTCCTCGAGCAGTGTATGGGGCAGTGGAGTACGATCCTTTGTCATCTGGGCGAGCGGATGACGGCTGCGGAGAACCACATAAGGATAAGAAGGGGTATCTTCCAGGGCGATTGTCTGAGTCCAATCTGGTTCTGCCTCTCTCTTAACCCTCTCAGTACCTTACTGGAGGGCTCCGGGAGGGGGATTTCAGCTACGGAGAGGAGGGACAAAAGTGACCCACCTTTTCTATATGGATGACCTCAAGTTATTCGCCTCCAGTCGCTCCCATCTAATGGAACTGCTAAACATCACTTGTGAATTTAGCAGTTCCATTGGAATGGAGCTGGGGACGGATAAGTGTGCGGTCCTCCATGTTGAAAGGGGAAGGGTTGCTAACTCTGAGGGCATAGACTTGTCTATGCCCGTCAACTTAAGGACCCTTTCCGAGGCTGAAACATACCGATACCTGGGTATGTCACAGAACATCGGTATCGATGAGGCTGGTATGAAACAGTCAGTTTGCGACGTGTTTTATGCACGCTTGACCAAAGTGCTTAACAGCCTTTTGTCCGGTGTGAATAAGACACACGCATATAACGGCTGGGTCATGCCTGTCCTCATGTATACCTTTGGCATACTCAGGTGGACTCAGACTGAGCTTAACGCCCTGGATAGAAAAGTCCGCACTACCATGACGTCCCATAGGATGCATCATCCGAGATCGTCAATAATGAGGCTGTACTTGCCGCGAAAGTATGGTGGGCGTGGCTTTTTGAGCGCGCTCACCATGCATAATCGCGAAGTGTGCAGTCTCCGTCAGTACTTTTTGGCGAGATCGGATGATCCATTCTATAATGACGTCATTTCTAGTGATAAAGGGCTTACCCCTCTATCCTTAGCCAACGAGCAATGGCAGGATCCAGCAGTGCTTAGCAATTCCGACCGGGAGACCGTATGGAAGGAGAAGGAGCTCCACGGGAGCTACTACAAGGCTCTACATGAGCCCTTCGTAGATACAGTCGCCTCCCTCAACTGGCTACGTTTCGGTGACCTCTTCGGGGAAACCGAGGGTTTTGTCTGTGCAATACAGGATCAGGTTATTAAGACCAACAACTATCGGAGATACATCCTAAAGGATGGCACCGTCGACGTCTGTCGAGCTTGTCGCCATCCCGGGGAGTCACTTAGGCATGTCATCTCCGGTTGTTCGGCGCTTTCTAACTCTGAGTACTTTCACAGGCACAACCTAGTAGCCAGAATTCTACACCAGGAGCTCGCGCTGAAATACGGTCTCGTGGACCGGAAATTGCCGTATTACAAGTACTTGCCGGAAGCCGTGCTCGAAAATGACCGCGCCAGACTCTACTGGGACCGGGCCATCATCACAGACAGGACTATTCTTGCGAATAAGTCTGATATTGTGCTGATGGACCGGGCACAGTCAAGGATACTTTTGGTCGATATTACCATCCCGTATGACGAGAACCTCGTGAGAGCCGAAACAGATAAGCAATCAAAATATCTGAACCTGGCTCACGAGGTGACGGACATGTGGGGTGGTCTGCCGGCCGAAATTATTCCTGTAGTCGTCTCTGCGAATGGGCTAATCCCAGTTAGCCTCTCTGGTCATCTGAGGCGACTGGAACTCCGTGACGGATCGCTCCGGGCTCAAATGCAGAAGGCGGTGCTCCTTGATACTGCCCGCATCGTCCGCCGGTTCCTTTCCCTTTCTTCCTAACCCTTGGCCGTTTGGTCTCCTCTGCCGAGGGCTTCCATCTGGTTGGGCTTTTATTTATTTATGTATTTTTGTATTTATTTTATTTTATTGATATTTATGTATATTTATCCTTTCATTTTCGTTTATAATTATATATTTATACATCCCAACTAGATGAGAAAACTATATAGATACCCCATACATAATAATAATATTTATTGAATCCAAACATAGTTTACATAAAAACAAAAACTTATAAAATTAAATTGACAAGACATAATCTAACTCAATACTATATTAAGGTATCTTTAGCAACCGTGCTAGGTCACAGACCTGTAATACGTTATCCTCTGGTGTATATTAAAATATTACTAAAAAATGATAACCTTAATTGGTGTAATAAATTCGTAATAACCCAGCTCGTGGATCAGTAGGCAGGGAATGTACACTTAATACTTGTAAATTATTCTTGAGC